CTTCTTTTGAGAACTATCTATTCATATCTTTTCCTACCTTAATTCAATTCTGTGTTTCTTCAGTTTAGTTCTTGAAAATCATAGGTCCCCAGAATGTTTGATGGGAAAATAATGAATGAATGAATGACATTCAAGTGTGTTTGCATTGAATGTAAGAAGCATGCTTATTGTGACAATTCAGATAAATAAAGAAAAAACACTAGAATGTTGCTTTGATTCTGAAAATAGTTATACATTTTTTAAAAGTAGGAATTTATGCTGATTCTAGCCCACCATAAGCAGAGTCACTGGATCCTGGACAAAACCAAATCCTTCAATCTGACTCTGAATTTGCCAGATGGCAAAGTCTGAGTTTCCTTTTCCATTTTTTTGGTTCCAGATGGAGCTCTGCTGCATCAATACAAACTGGACATATCTTCTGTGTTCACTTTCAACTGCAATTGTGGGAATTTATCACTAGTAAGTTGCTTCTTGGTTATCATGCTCACTTTTGCTATTAGTGATTTAATAAGCGACATTTATTTTCTCCAATTACTATTATATACTGTGTATTCATTATAAATAACTATGACTACAACACCATACATTAATCTTTTCTAAGGTCAGTGTAGGCTATCTTAAATACTACTGAAAGATCTGAAGATCTTGAAAACCATAAGAATTTGAAGCTTGAAATGTCTACCTAATATGCACATTCTTGTGGCCATGTCATCTGAAGTCTCAGAATAAAATTTCCTGTGTGTAAATGTGTGTGTGTGTGTGTGTGTGTGTGTGTGTGTGTGTATGTGTGTGCATGAATGTTTGTGGGCTTGTATTTGATTACTTTCCCTCATACCATGTGGGATTCTAAGTCAATATGAAAACAGCTGATGGCACTTGATAAAGATGATTATAGCAAAGACTTTAATCAATAGCCGCTTTTATCTCAACAACACACATTATCTCTCACCTTTAAAAATTATTTGTGTGAATGTCTATTCTTAGCTAGTCTCAGAATAAATAAGACCAAGCTGTCTGAAAAGTCAGGAAAACATTAGAGGGGAAGTAGCCATTTTGACTGTCGAAAAATATGCTATGATCAAGATTGAGCAGTGTGATATTTTTTGATGACAGAATCCCACAAGATACAATCATGTAATATATTATCAATTCTGTGTGCATATTTATCTATATTTTAAGAGAAAAAGTTAAAACGAAATCCAAGAATATGATTGACAAAATAATAATGATGAACAAATCATGTAATTTGATATTAAAATGTCTTAAGAAAAAATATGAATCCATAATGACAAATCTTTCATAAAAGGTTGATTTAATCTGTACATATTAATAACTTCAAACATGTAGCAGATAGCTAATGGTTTTGTTTATTTAAAGAGATGTTATGCTTGAAGTGTTTGGAATGGTGATTGAGAGTCAATGAAACGTCAGCTTTAAAAGTCAATGTTATTTTTGAAGATTTTAGTTAGCTAAGACAATAAGTGCTTTCTCTACACATTTTATGTAGAATAAGTGTGTATACTGTCTAGGGAAGAGGTCTTGGCTCTAAGGTAGTCATCAGGTCTAGAGTACAGCATCCAAGTTATAGAATAAGTGTGTATACTGTCTAGGGAAGAGGTCTTGGCTCTAAGGTAGTCATCAGGTCTAGAGTACAGCATCCAAGTTAGTTAACAAGAAATCTGAGTCTTTTACCATGAAGTTTTGAAGATTCCTGGTAGTTACTTCGGGGGGATTTTAAATTGGAATTTTTTAAGAATGTGGAGAGCCTACTGACTGGAAAATCAGAAAATTGTGTGTGTTTTCAAGTTTCCTGTTGAGCCATAAAGAAGGACAAACTTTGTACTTTGCAGCAACTTGAATGGATTTAGAGTCTATCATACTCTAAATTCTGTGATCTATCACAGAAACAGAAAACTGAGTACCACATGTTCTCACCCATAAGTGGACCTTGAACAGTTATCAGTTATAATATTATAAGAAAGGGATTGTCAGTAGTGGGAAATTTCTAGGGGAGGGGGGACACACCTCATCAACAAGGGTACCTGCATAATGAATATCTATATACTTAACTCTGAATTGTAACCCACATCTTTAAAATTAAAAATTAAATCAAACAAAAAAGAAAGTCAGAAAATTGGGGTTTTCACCTAAGAAACTGTGCCAATCTGTATGTGTATGTATGTGTGCGTGTGTGTGTGTGTGTGTGTGTTTAGTTCCCTCCCAGCTGCATATGTACATTAAAATTGTTGAGCTAGTAAGAGTAGAGTCTGAAATCTTGATATGCCTTCAAGCTTTGTTCTTTTTATTGTCTTTCTCTAATATAAATGATAACTTGAAAAAGTTTTAGCCAGATATTAATGGGCAAAGAAGAACAGAAAATAGGTATTATTATTATTATTACGATTTATGGAAGCACTTTAAAGAAAGGGGATGCAGACTTGAGGAGCCCTGAGCAATGGCTGTGTCTGTGACCTTGGCAGTCACAGAAAGAATTTTCTTCAAGGGAAGATGATTCCCAGGAGAAGGAAATCCTCCCTGCCCAAGAATTTTCCTTTTAGTTTATTGAAGAGTTCTAGTGAGTATGTATGCATGTTTCTCTGCATGCATATTGAAGATTAACAATTTCTTTGTAGGGTAACATGTACCTTTGCGGACCATTTGAATGAACCAAATACTACCTTTTACCCAGCTAAATAATTACATATAGACTTGTTAAATATATTTTAAAAGCACATATATTCTTTTATATAAAGTTAAGATTATTAAACAAAATAAATCTAAGAAAAGCAGTATGGTATTGGTGACATAATTCAGGTCTGCTGTAAAGTATTTGTAGGAATTATTTTTTGTTTTCTTTATTTTTATTTAAAGAAAACGTGTGCTTTTTAAGTAGCTCTGGCATTTAATTCTGTGTTTACCTTATCCTAAAATTACATGTTCAAAATTTTCCTTTATGTTCTAGGCAAACTGTTTTGACATTATTATCAAATTAGAAATAAAATTATAACAAACCAAAGAAATACATTATCCATTTGGATGGAAATCATATATAACCCCATATTTTTGAAGTTAAAGCATACAGTCCACACTATAAGAGACACGACGTTTCCACTCACAAACTTTATTTATGTAGGTTTTTTTTCATATTTTCTTTATGTGGTACTTGGCAAATTTTAATCAGCAAAAGTTTTCTTTTTCCTTTTTTCTTAAGCTGTGAATGAACAGCATACACTTTAAGCAGCGCAATTATGGACATTCTGTGCCTAGCATAGCTCTCAGAAAACAAATCAGAGAAAAATTTCAGACTGTGGGAAATAAACAGGAATATAAAACGGAAGCTAGAAAAAGAGGCCTGGAAATGCTTTTGTAACTTTTTAAAAACTCAAATGGAAGCAATGTTTTGTACTTATATATGTTAATGATCAATTAACAGAAACAAATCTTGTTTTTTCATTTTAGCAACAAATAAAAAATAGTGCTTTAACGGATTATGGATAACAATGATTGTTGATACGGTTTAGACTGTTGTCTCTTCCAAGGCTCTGTTAAACTGTCATCTCCGTTGTTGGAGGTGTGGCCTAGTGGGAGGTGATTGGATCAGGAGGTAGATCCCTCATCAGTGGCTTGCTTCTCTTCCTGTGGTAATAAGTGAGTTCTTGCTATATTCGTTCACATAAGAACTGATTGTTTAAAAAGAACAGAGTACCACATGTTCTCACTCATAAGTGGACCTTGAACAATTATAATACTATAAGAAAGCCTTTGGCAGTAATGGTAAACTGTCAGGGGGGTTGGGATTGGCAGTTGAGGGAAACTGCTAGGGGAGGGAGGGGTATACCTCATCAACAAGCGTACCTGCATAAGCAATGTTTGTATAACTAACCATGAATTGTACCCCACATCTTTATAATAAAATAATAGTAATAATAAAATTTTTAAAAAGAACTGATTGTTTAAAAGAGCTTGGCACCTATTTCTCTCTCTCTTACTCCTGCTCTCACTATGTGATATACCTGTTCCCTCTCCACCTTCTGCCATAATTGTAAGCTTCCTGAGGCTTCACCAGAAGCCCAGTCGATACCCATACCATGCAGAACCTTGAGCCCGATAAATCTTTTTTGTAAATTACACAGCCTCAGGTATTTTAATAGAAATGCAAAATGGACAAATATTATTGGTAACAGTATTGTAATTAGAGATAAGATTATAATCAACATGTGCTATCATGTGCTATCATGTGTGTTCTATATATGCTACCTAATTTATGATCCATAATTCTAGAATTTCTTTTTAATAAATAATGTCAAGTTTCACCAATATTCCTCCACCTTCCCAAACACTGATCATCAAAAATTAGAAACACTGGATCATCTGCGGTAGTATTAACATTTTTAACATGGAGAATAATGAACTCACAGTCAACCAACATTGATACACTGAATATATTACTCGAATTTCATTATTTCATTATTTAGTGCTAGTCAAGAGCAAGCAACATAAGTTGATAAGAGACATCAACTCTTTCTCCACTGTACTTTCCTTCTTGTATTAGCCAAATGCCCTAAAAGCTATTGATAACCTTATAAGTTAAAACTCTAAGTCTATAACAACAATTAAAGGAGAAAATGGAGGAATGTTATATATACAATGAGTTAACCTATTAGTTATTTATTTGGATAAAAGTTAGTGTTACAAACAAGAGGCCGGGAGACCTGGGCTGTACCTTAGCATTTTCTCTAGTGATTGCACCCTCGTGAGAAAGTTCCTTTGTAACTTGCATTGATCTGTTTATTTTATTTAAAAAAAAAAAAAAAAGACTGGTCTAAAGCATTTCTGAGCCCAGAAGTTCGAGACCAGCCTAGGCAACATAGCAAGACCTTGTCGCAACGACGACAACAACAAAAACAAAAACAACGAAACATTTCTAAGGTTCTTCCCAGGTGCAAAGTTCTACAGCTGTTGGCGTATTTTTAAATGATGGAAGGCAAGCTCACACTTACCATTCTGTTCCCGCTGCACTCCTGCTGCCAGCAGGTCGGGCTCCCCGAGGCTTATGTCATTGAGCCGGGTCCCCAGACACTCCATGCAGAGGTGTTTGCACCACTCCTCAGCCTCCAGCTCTGAAAATGACCACACATCATCTGTCAAGTACACTTTCTAGGAATGATAGAGAAGAACTGTTCCCCGATCCATTATTCCAGGCAATTAAGGGGTAAAAAAATTCCATATTTAAGAAGTGAAAAAAAATCCCTACAATTATTTCTCATTGTTTGACATGGTATCTTCAAGTGGTTTTAAGTTATTCCATGGTACTTTATTTACAAATAGTAGTTTGGTAATATTTGTTTCCTATCTGGCATATTTTAGATTGATTTTCTTTTTGGAGGAAAATTACTTAGAAGACTAAATTAGCCAGTCTTAGTCATTCCACAACACACACACACACACACACACACACACACACACACACACACACACTTCAAACACCGTGTTGTACAAGGTAAATACATACAATTTTATGTCAATGTAAAAAATAGAAGTGTGTATATATATATATATATATATATATACACACACTATAAAACACTATATTTTATATAGTAAATACAATTCTATGTCAATGTAAAAAAATAAATGAATAAATGCAAAATTTTAAATATATGTATGTATATATAAAATACAAAAATGGCACCTTAGATTAGGCAAATGAATGTTTTCCAGAAAGTGACTAAGATTTGTGTAGGCTGAAGGTCTGATCCTCAAGCCATTCTGAATTGTAATGGTTCACAGATCACTCAAGAACACGATCATTTCCTTGGTAAACATCAAAAAGTGGGTCATCCTTTAAAAAAAATCATAGTATAACCTTAAAAGTATCTTTCTTCTTTGGAAAATTTCAATGACCTAAGTTATTGGTTAGATTATTACTTTTTATGCAACGATTATCTCCCAACTTCTTTATATTCACAAGTTTTTTCCTTTTCTTGAAATATTACAGTGACTTACAGTTACAAAAAATCTCATAGGATTTAAAGGTTTCACAGGCTTTCATAAACATAAATGAACTAGATTCTCATGTAAGTCCTATGTGGGTGAGGTGGCTAAGGGTTAGATATAGCTGTGTCCTATGTCTTATCAGTAGTCAGCACTAAAACAAAATTGGAATTCAGGGGATTAAGCTTAGTATTTTAGGACAAGCTCTTATATTATTGTACAGAAATCAGATATGAATGTTCCATTGACATCTGCCTAGAGAAGTTTCTGACTTTTCATGTAGCATAAATCTGTCCTAGAACAATTTCATATAGAGTCCCTGCAGATTCTCTTGTTGCTCTCTGTGGATGATATCTCAACCTTTGCCCTGGCATTTTAAACTCCACATAAAAAGTTATCTGTGACAGGTTTTTTTGACTTTAGGGATTCGAATACCAACGACTCCTTTTGGTCAATACCATCAAATCTGGCTAATGTTTTCTTCCTGAGTTTAGTCACATTGCCTTAGTAGAAAAATAGGGAGATGTCAGGGCAAAATTGTTGTTTATTTTAAATAAATAATGACAATTTTGTTGTTTATTTAATCAAGACCATGATATGTTTGAAAATAAAGAAAAAAGAACATGTAATCCCTCACAGGGAACTATTCTAATAAAAATAATAGCTCCAATATTCCAATCATGAAAGGCATAATCCTTTCATAACCCTTTCCAACTACAAAGTTACTAGTATAATAAATGCACACTTGCTGAGGCTTTTTACCCTCCTTCACAAAGAAATCCCTTTTCTTTCCTCTAGGAAGGAAGTGCTAGACTTCATAGAAAAATGTTACAGGAGCAACAAAGACATATACTAACATTTTTTATTGCACATATAAGATTTATAAAAGTTGTGGAAGATTTTCGAACAACCAACCCAAATCTTACAGGCTAACACAATTTGCATACTGTTTATCAAGAAATTCTTGAAGTTTCTTCTAAGGCAGACAATATGATTATAGCTTTTCTTTTTAATTTTTAATGCTTGGATTTCACAAGGTAAAATTATAAGCAAAATCACATGCAATTTACACCACATCTACATTATTCTACCTGTAGTATTTTCAGTTCTCTATAGATGGAGATGAGACTATCTAACATGATTTTGGGAATAGAAATAAGAGTGTTAAATATGCCAAAGCAACTTGGTGCCAATGTTCCCCTTAAGGAGTAACTTAGTGCATGCTAAAGGTTGAAGAAATATATATCATTAATTCCTTCTTTGTATGAACTCTTTTGTCCTTGGGCTTAATGAGAGAAAAAAAGCAATCGTACAGTGCTAGGTTTCTATGAACCTGGAGTGATCTCTTTTAAGTAGAACTAAACATAGAATTTCTGAAGCCAAAGAGGTCTCCCATCACAGAAATGAGAGGTATTAGTGGGCTTCCCCAGCAGGCAAAGATATCTGTTGAAGTCAATCTTAAGAATCACAGTTTCAGCATTTTAGTAATATAGCAGCATATACTAATATAAATCACAAGAATAATAAAAATGGCGTACACAGAGTCACACTAAAGGCTGAACTATAAACTCTTTCAGTTCATCTGCAAGCAAGAAAGGGAGAGAGATTCCTACAATTCAGATATCAAAAGCTCATTTCTTTCTTTTTCTTTCTTTTTTTTAAAACAAACTTCTATTGTGAATTCACTGTATGTCAGGCACTGTGCTAGAAGCTTATATGAAAAGCACACTGTTTCTGCTATCAGTCATCTTAGAGTTTAGTGGAATGGACAGGTGAGTTTGGTATGTGGTGCTCTGGGAAGTTGCTGACCTAGTTGGGCAGGCACTGAGGAACTGTGCCAAAAGCTCAGCAGAGTGGAAAGTATCAGAATACAGGACAAGCAGGAAGAAACTGATGATATGTATGTGTGAATGTGTATATCAGTGTGTGTGAGAGTGTGTAATGTGAGTGTATGTTTGCCTGTATGCTTGTGTGTGAGTGTACATGTGTTTGCCCATATGTTTGTGAGTGTGTGTGAGTTTTTGTGTGTGCCTGTGGGTTTGTGATTTTGTGTGTTTGTGTGTGTTGGAGGAGTCTGGGAGGATTAGGGAAGATGCCCGGGTAGAGATAGAAAGACATTTGCAGAGCTGCAAGAGTGACATCCTATAACAGCAGGAGATAGCTCTGAGTTTATGCAGAAAAATGGGAGAAGCAGCATTCGAGCTAATCATGATTTTTCTAGTATTTGGTTCAATTAGATCAGTCCTAAACTTTTATCTCAAAAGTATTAATCTTTGTGGTCTGTATATTAGATCTAACAGTTTTGCTGCAGATAAGGTGAATTTATTTATTATACAAGGCTTCGGTTTTATAAAGCTGTCTTTGATAGTCACCTTACAAATATTACAATTATGCTTTTTAGTTATTCCTTCTTAAGGAAGCTCTATGTATTGAAGTGTTTCCTTCCTTTTATTACATTTTAATTATTTTGTCCTATCATAATTTAACTGGTGGTTTTTTCTGAATTATCTTTCATCTTTATAATTTTTTTTACAGAACTGAGATTACAAATGCAATAATCTGAACATACTGAATTTTGAAATATTTATTTTTCATAGACTCAGTGCCTTTTGTCATTTGTTTTATCTTTCAAACTTTTTAGTCCTCACATAATGTGTAAATAATTAAATTTCTTTGTGAGGGAATAAAGACATTAAAATGTTCTATAAAGTTTTCTGTTTATCTCTGCATGATGAAAGTGCTTTTTCATTAGGATGCCTTTTTCAAATAGCTTGCAGCTATGTTTAAATTCTTAATTTAGGTAAATAACTTTTTCTCTAGAACAGAAACCCAAATAATGTTTTAATTGTATATAGGATTAGTTAAATGAAGAAATTTGGTAATTTCCCAAGAGAAAATTGAATGGTGTTTGGAAATAATAAGACAAATGGAGACAAAAGATTAAATTAAATAAGTAAATTATGTCACACATGGTTTATTGATTGGAGGGAAAATAAATGATAGTGCAAAACAGAAATACGGTCAAAAATGGGTGGCTCCTTCCTGGGTTTCAGTTTCTTTCCATTTCTTCTTTATAGAATTCTGAAAACAGTATGGCCAGATCCCATCGAATCAGAAAATAGGTCTTTATTTAGAAGGCCCTTAATAAATGGTCATTGACTAAATAATTAGATTCAAATTTTATTGCTTTCACTAAATTTAGTCCTTAGGATAATGGCATTAAAGTTATATTTGAAAACTGAAGAAGTTTTCATCACATATACAGAAAATTTGCTATTAACCAAAATCACATAGCAGAATTAAAAATAGCACCACATCAATTTCATGTTACTTTATTGAAAGATGCAGGCAAGACTATTTTGTCTAAAAATGATAAATCATTGTATCTTGTTCTCATTGGATTTAGCTTTTATTATATATAGAAAATATAGGTAAAATAATCTTGTTTCATTTTCAGTGTGAGCAGCGATTCTTAATTATATCTAATTCTTAGCTTTTGTGCAGATCTGCTATGTTTTGGTGATAAAGGTTGTTTTCACATTTACTAAAATCTTAAATATGTGCTCTGTAAAGTGAAGAAAAATGTTTCCCTTATAGACTATTGCTTAGAGAATATAAAGATTTCTCTTATTGTTATTTAAAATTTACTGAGCTATTAAAATATGACATTTTGATGATGCTTTCATTGTTCACAACTGGCAACAACTTTCTACTTAACTGGCCTTACTGTGGACTTTTGTTTTCTCCTCACTTTTTCTGCAGTAAAAAGACAAACATCAGATAAGCCCTAAACACTTGCAAGATCAAAGTACTGTACCTTTGTTTAGCCACAGGAAAACTTTTTTTTTTTTTTTGAATTGGAGTCTCACTCCATCACCCAGGTTGGAGTGCAGTGGCATGCTCCCATCCACTGCAACCTCGACCTGCTTGTCTCCAGCCATCCTTCCTCCTCAGCCTTTTCAGCAGCCAGAACTACAGGTGTGCACTACCACACCCAGATAATTTTTGATGAATTGTAGAGATGAGGTCTCACCAAGTTGTCCAGGTGGGTTTCAAACCCACAACGGGCTCAGGCAATTCACTTGCTTGGCCTCCCAAAGTGCTGGGATTACACCCGGATGAACTC